CTATTTAATGAAAGCATTGCATCTAATATGTTTGATTGAACGTTCACTACTAAGATGAATACGGTTATTCAGATTGGCTTTTTGTTTTCTTTCACTTGACACATTTAAATGAGACAGAGGCTATTGCATTTAGGCTATTGGCCAATGCGAAACTAGATTACTTATTTGTCAGCTCGAGGTCAAGATTTTTGGATGGAATAGCGTCTAAATTGATTGAGTTAGGACATGATTTTCAGATAACGGAGCCGAAAAGAGTTAATCAACGAACCTTGCAATCATCAGATTATCTCAATCCTTTTGTTATGAGAGGCTGGAAGTTGACATTCCCCATCAGCTGAGATTCTCCAATATTATATAGGCTTCGTCAAGCAACGCACCTGACAAGGATAGGTGATTACATATTCAAATCCAAAATTAACAAAATAAAGATGAAATATAGAATAAAAGAAGAATAAGGAAGGAAGAGTAAGTCTGGCTGTTAATAGAAAATTGCCATTGAAGCTTTGATAATTTTCTATATGAATAGCTATGGCTATCCTCTGTCTGTGGAAGAAGCCTTCTCGAGGATCGCCAGCAGGCTTGCAGATGTGAGATCTTGAATCCTTGAAGAAGGAAAATGCAAGCTTACCAAAGGAAGTTAAGGTGATATTGTTCGAATAAAGAAATGATCTACTGAAATTTCCGAATATTTGAAAATTTTTCGCTATTCTTTTGCTCGAGTACGTTTGGAATTTGGTTGGATAGAGATAATGGATCTATACACGAATAGTCCCAAACGAGAAATTAGCCCCGTTTCCATGGAATCAGGTGATTCCGTCAGGCCGCTTTTCATCGAATCTAAAAAGTTCTGGTGGTTTCAAATATTACATGTATTTGGGCAGATTTTATAACTCGTTGGATTAAGAAATTGCTTTGATTATGCATGAGGATTCGGCTTTTACACAACTTGAAGTGTAAACGGTCTTCCTTTGCTGTCTATAGTGGTTCTGTAGCCAGCGTAGATGTGAGGAAAGGTTAGGCGAGTTTAATAGCGCGAGTAAGCTCATTGTTGGTTAGTTGAAGCTGAAGATTGTTAGAAGGGATAACTTCCAAAAATTTATGTCCGAATCCATTAATTAAAATAGTAAAGATATAACGGTCGGTTGATAGCATGCTAGATAGAAATTCAACGCAGCGAACTACAACTGGCGTATCCCAATACTTCTGTCTGTTGGATTCAGGCAATGGGACATCAACAATACGTGTCCTCCATAACAAGATAGCATTATCTAAGGCTATTTCGAGACAGAATTTTCAAAGCGGTTTTTGTGTAATGTTACTAGCAATTTATTTTTTATTTCCAATTTGTCAAATTAATTTTTTTTAATATAATATTTGGAAAAATATCGATGGTTTGATTTTTATTAACGATTAAAGGACATATGTGAAATGGGGATCCCGGTTTTTTTCTTTCAAATATTTTTTTTTTCTCTTTAGCTTTCACCTTTTCTGATGGTAAGCTCCTTCAACGTCTCTCTCCACTTTATGTTATTTATACAATCTCTTTTATCTAATTTATACTTCTTTATATTGGCTCTAACTTTATGGCCCCATTGAAGTTTTGGCCTTCCTCTTTTACGTTCGCCTATCACTTCCAAACTCTCAACCTTATTTCCTATGTAGTTCATAGGCCTTCTCATTGTGTGCCTCAAATATATTATTCAAAAAATTTATATCCTTTCTTTGGAAATAAAAAAAGTGCTAAAAAACCGCTTTGAAAGTTTGGTCTGGGAATTTCTTAAGGAAATGTCATTTTTTGAGATGTGACAAATGATTACGAGTTTAGAAAGTAGACTGCTCGAAATAATGGCAATAAGAGCAAGATCGGTGGGAGATCGAATCTCCAAACCATCCTTAATATTTTTTAGGAGAGTTTGCTTACTATCGAATTTATTAATCAAAAGTTTTTCTAGAAATATTTTCCCCACTGTCAATTTATCAAAAGTCATTAATTACACTTTATCAAATATTAAATCCCCCCAACCCATCTCGATTGATTTTTATTACACGTTTTATTATTATTTTTTTTATATAGATTTTTCCCCACAGTTTTTGATTCATACAAATATTTTTTCCTATAAAATTTTACATTTCTATAATTGTAAAAAAAAATTCTTACAAATAAAAAATATTTTCTCCTTGTTTCTTCCCAGAATTTTAAAATATATAAATTTATTTCTCAAAATTGAATATCACATTTAAAAATTTGGTCCAGCCCGGGTATGCCTGAATTTTTTTATAATATTTGGCCCGACCCAGCCCTAACTATAAATATTTTTAAAAAATAGGCCCAGCCTGAAGCCCGTTCGGGCCGGGATTTGTAGATCTCTAATGTAAATTATTTATTAAATAATATATATAAAAACTATAAAATAAATTTTCAAAGGTTAAAACCGAACCGATATTATTTTCTACAACTTGAACATTATACCTAATTTTAACCTAACCGATATTCATTAAGGTTTCGATCTATTGCTAACACCTCATGTTTGAAATATACACTTAAATAAGATAAATCCCTAACATATGTAAAGTATACAAAAATCTTTCTGACCTGCCCCTGATTGAATTTCTACTCATATAGGGACATTAGATAAATTCAAATGACAATCAACTTTAAAAGAATAATTGAATTCGAAACACAAAATAAAATCGATAAAATTAATATTTTTTTAAAATATTTTTCAAAATATAAGTTACGGAAGGAATATTTATTTTATACTTTCATAAAAGGGATATGACATTTAAAAAAAATTAACGACAATTTTAAAATACAATTATAAATAAAAAAATTAAAATTTTTTTGTTTTTTGTATACTTTACATACATCTTTGAAAATAAAATAATTTAATTTTGTTTTTTATACCTTATGAACAGAATATATCTAATTTTTTTAATTTCCTTTCTTGTATCCTTCTTAATTATTTTATATGATTCTTAAAAATACATAAAATTTTGAATTATCAAGCGAGAATCTGATTGAAGATGTTCAACGCCAAAAAAATTCCTTAAGACAAAGATCTGAGAGTCGTGGACAGAATTGAAATTTCAGGAACTTTTTTAAAAATTTTATAATCGCTTGGTTAAGTTTTCTTCAATTACTTTGATTTTATCATGTTTTACATATTTCGATCCTGAACAGTCAGTAAAGTGGGGCATGCCCTTGGAATCAATCAGAGTACTACACCGTTGGCAATTATGAGGTTTGGTTATAATTGCACCTAGCCAGGTAGTTACTACAGAAATGTATTATTTATCAAAAAAATTTGTTTGAATAGGCTATTAACTCTATATCATGGCCTAATGATGAGTTAATGTATTGGGATTTTAGCTCAATGATATTTTCGATCTCTCGCCCGTAACAATCCTGACTAATGAGATTACACCGATTTTTTAAAGGGTCCCAAACTCGTTTGGTCCAGAAATACCTAGGGTTCATGGGTTGAAATCTGTTGCTGTTTGATATGTGTTCTCATGTCTAATCAATTTTGAAATCTCTGAACTCGAAATTGGGTGTGCTGCAATTCTATAAAAAAATTTTAGGCCAGATGTTAACATTTTGTTATTATATTATTATCTAATCATTCAACCAGCAGCATTGAAGAATGAATAATATTCTCTTTTTAATATGAATAATCGCCATTTGCCTGTAAAATTGAAGAAAAGAAAAACGAATAATTAAACTTCACTATATAAAATATTTTCAGCGTGCAAAATTAAAAGGATTTATACATCGTTAGCATACCTATTTCTCACCCAAATTTGTTCAAATAACAATATTTATTTATACAACTGTTACACAATAAAAATTTAAATCTCTTATTATTATAATTTAAGTGCATTTTTTAATCGACAAAAGAAAGGGAAATCTAGTTTTTAACCTAAAATTGTCACATTAGCCTCGGGGTTTTGTTGATATAACTTAATTAATTCGCGACTAAATAATAAGCTAATTTTCTTCGGCACGCAATCGAACCGACTTTTAGCCATTATATAGTTGAGTAATTGCTTTATTTTTAGTCAGCTAAAAAACATAACCTATATTATTTTAGCTGAAAATAATCCTCTCAGGGGTGGGGGCGGGAGTTTTAAATATATCTCACCTTTGAAGGAAGTAGAAATAATTTAATCGCGTTTCAATGTTTATTCGCGTGCTTTTAATGTCATTGGTTATTATCCAATCTTATTTTATTATTTCTTAAGGCTGAGTCCAAAATATAAAAAAAAATATTATTCGCAAACTTTTGAAACTTTATAGAAAAAAAATAATATATAAGCTTTTTTTAAATAAAAAAAAACATGTCCAAAATATAATTCTAGAAAATTTCAAAAATTTAAACATACAATTTCATTAAAATTTTAAAACTTCTGAAAGTTTTGAAAACAATTCGATTTAAAAAAAAAATTTGGACAGCTTAAATTTCAAATATTTAAACCAAAACTGTTTTTTAAAAAAGACCACTGTTTGTAAAGAGATTAATTATCATTATTGATTATATATATATTTTTTTATCGAAACGAACATTTATTTATTATTATTTTTTTACTAATACATAAATTTCGATTATTTTTTTAAGATCAGGATATAGGTCGGCCATTCAAAAAAAAATAATAAAGAATAAATCCATAAAAAAATATACCTAGTTTTTTATAAAATATTAATCTTTAAAATCAATATTTTTGAGTGCTTTATTGGTATCATCGTGTTAAAAATATTTTGGTTGAATTATTATATTCACTAATTTTAATTTTTCTTAAAAAATCTAAAAAATAATTGACTAACGTGAATTTATTTATGTAACAAAAAAATAAAATGATATCTCTTGTACTTATAAACCTTACACTTTAAAATAAGTAACACGTTATCGATAATTTAAAAATTTATATTATTGAATTGTTAAATTCCTTATCTTTAATTATAACATATTTTCGTAATGCATTTGTTTTAGTAAGGAAATAACCTTTGCTGGAGATTTAACGTTATTTTCATAATTTATTTCCATCCATTCATATTCTTGGCTTGGGCGTTGCGGAGATGCGACTATAAATAAATCAATTTTTTTGAGCTTCTATATTGAATAAATTGGCGATTAGAAGAATTGCACAAATAAATATCGAATATTAATAATTTTGAATCTATCCACGTATCTATTTCCAATATCTAACTCCAATTATAATAAATTTTTTGTTTTTATTAATAAAGAAAATAATAATGAAAACTTTTGGCAATGGCGATAGGTTCCTTATTAAATATCATAAGGAAAATAATTTTTTTTTCGATATCTATATCAATAAAATATAAATTTTTTAAATTTTTTTTATTTAATTAAAAATTTATTATTTTTTTCAAAATATTTTTTAAAAAAAATTAAAACTCCCACAATTTTTAAACATTTAGAATATCAAAAATAATAATATAACCTAAATTTTTAAAAATTATTATAAAACAAAAAAAACGATTTATCTTCCCTTTTTGGTTAAAGAAGAAAAACAGAGATCATATCACCATCACAAGAATTCTTCAATATTTATTATCACGTATTTTTTGGCTATAATAATTTTTTTATTTAAAAAAAAGGCTAATTTTTTCCACTTTCTGTAAAAATAGAATTTTTTAGAACGATATTTTATCGGATTATCGCAGAATTATTCCATATAAAAATCTAGATTTGTCGTTTGTGATATTTAGTAATTTTTTAAAAAGCTAAAACTCTTCTTCATCAATGCAACTATCCACCTCGACCCATAGCTAACTCAAAATGCTAATGAAGAATTTTAAGTACATCATCAGCGGATAACTTTTTATCATCCATTCATCCCAACGCATCAATATAATTTAATTTTTGTATAAAAAAAATTCTAAAAAAATAACAAAATAACAAATATTTACTTTTATATAAATCTACCCATCAACTTCGCCAAATTTTTTTATTTTTCCAACCTACCCAGAAAACACCGATATGAATGAATTTTTCGGTCCCAAGAAAGTTTTATCGATGGCCAGCATGAGTGAATATCAATTACCGGAGATGGTCACAGATTCCACTCCCTCATTCAGAAACAAGGATATACGTCGCAGTAGCATACAGATTCTGCCTGGAGCTACCCTTTTGGGCTCTTCTACTACGGGCGCATCGCATAGGCATCACCATTCGCACGGTACGCCTAGTGGTGTTCAGCATAGATTGGATAATAAAAATGAGATTATCGTAAATCACGTAGGAGACTTGGTAGGGAAGGATAATCAACATGATATCGAAAACGAATTAGATCTTGAACATGAAGACAATTTAAATGAACGAAGAAGTTCAAAGGATTCAAAAGGAGCGAAGAATAGGAGAAGGCATTCTACCGCTAGTTCAAATTTATCAGAATGTAAAAAAAATCATTTTTAATTGATATTTTGTCTATCCCTTCCTTTTATTATATTATTTGTGGTAGCCAGAATTTGTTGCCTGTCATATTTTTTGAAGCATAGTTTATTTCTTAAGCGTCATTTGAGAATTTAACTCAGTAAATAGCATTTTCATGGCGGACTATGTTAAATTACGATAATCAAAATAGGCGCACACTATTTTGGAAATAAAGATATTATTCATGGAAAAAATCCAGTTTAAATTATTTATATTATGACCAAAATCTATATTTTAATCATAAACCTTGATTTTATCGGGTAATCTTGAGAGCGGTTAAAATTATTTTAGCCACTTTTATTGATATATTATAATAATAGAACTGATAAGCAATAATAAAAGAAATTGTGTAAAATGTTTCCCAAAGAAAACAACATTTTCAATAAAATTTAGGTTATAATAATCAGTGTCGAAGAGCGAAACCATATTGAAGCGCTGAACCGTTATAAAATATGTCGAACCGGTTCATAAATGGGTTTTCTACATTTTATTATTTATTTAAATGATTGTCATAATTTTAAAGAAATATATAAGAGATTTATATGTGGTAGACGGATGGTTTATCTCATATTCTAAATTTATGAATTCTTTAAATTTAGCTGCTTTTAATAGCGATTATAAAAATATAATTATTAAAATTAATTTTTTAAAAAAATCTCAGCTTATAAAACCGGAATGAACCGAAAAAACAGGTATGAATTTATAAATCGGAAGGCGACGGTATAGAATTGAACCATTTCTGACAAATTGCTTACACATTTAAATTAAAATTTATTGTTGCTTTGCCAGAACAAATATAACTTTAAACATTTAAATTTTTCCACCCCACAAATTATTCCCTTTCTAAAAAAATATTTCAAGGACAAAATCGCGCACAAAGTGTTTATTATAATACTATTGTCGTATATAAAATTTATAAAACAAAATGATAATATGTATATTTTCTTATAAATAAAATATACCCACTATTTTTATTAGCCATATTTTTTTTAATTTTTGCAATTTTTAGGAAATTTAATTAACATCATTACCAAAATTTAAGCGCGAACTCCGCAGTTTTTTTAAATTTAAAACACAAATTTTTTTGTTTTTAATTGTTTTATTTAGTTATGGGGGTGAAAAAAAATATAATGGATAATTTATTTAACTTGTATATTTTTTTTTTAATAATTATGCCCCTTTCCGCGGTTGTGAGATATAATATCTTATGAAAAAGGTTATTGTTTTTATATAATTTAAAAAAAGTCTATTTGGCCTAAAATTTGCAATTGCTAAAAATTAGATTAAATGTACATGGGAAATAAAGGAAGGGTTATAGAAGAGGTTTGCGCAAGTGAAGGAACGGGTGCCCCATGCCAAAAAAATTATTTTAGGGGCCGTAAAATTTTGGCTCTTGAATTGTTTTTGATTTTACTTTAAACTGGGGGTTTAACGGGCCACCGAATTTATTTTTGCACCGGGCTGTCCAAAGTTTTAGCACGGCCCCGATTGTTTTAAAAGATTTCAAATATTTAATATATATTTTATTTCAATAAATTTAAGCACATGGGCAACGTTATTTTTTTTTTGCAGGTTATAGGATAGGGGATAGTATATTGTACAATTATTTTTAAAAAATATTATAACCACGTCTAGGCTCAATAAAATTAGGTAAGAATTTTCTAACCCAATTTGGGAGTTAATGTTTTTTAACAAAAATTGGTTAATAATTTTTGTAATACATCCCCCATAGACCGGGACCGGACCGATCTTTTTTTGGGTGCGGTCCGGACCGGTCTTTTATTATTATTTAGGTTTGCCTTACTATTAAATTAATATAATTTTTTTGTATATTTTATTTTATGATATTTTTCTAGAGGAGTTATTTAAGATTTTGTTAATTTTTATTTTACAATATGAAGACCATAAGTTTGTCTAAGAAACATTTTACTTATAGTCCCAATAAAAACATAGAGTATGTGTTCACTGCAGTACCAAATTTAATGTATCGTCAGCAACTAGTAACAAAATAATTGTTTATAATTTTTTAAGCAATAAATTAATCAAAATAAGCAGTATTATTATTAAAATATTTTGGTTATTATATATAGTTCTATTTTTCTTAAAAAACTGTCTGAATAATTCATTGTCAAAATAACTTAACCTTATTCTTAATAAAATAGTTAGGTATCTTAAGCAGACATCTTATAAAACATAAAATATATACTTCTAATGATGATAATGAAAATATCTCAAAAACACAATCTACTCTTAATTTTAATATGCCCTCCACAAGCACAAAATCACTTTCTTCAATACCATTGGATAAATTTTATTGTTTATATAATACTCTTATATTTGATATGATAAAACAAATTAAACTAGGTTAAAAAAAATATGTTTTTTATTTAGGACCACGGTCTGGATCGATCTTTTTCTTACATGGTCCGGTCCGGTTCGAGGGTATTGGTCCAGTCCGGACCGTGGCCTTCACTAATACCCGAACACATACATTTTTTAACATTGATTCCTAAATTCTGCAAAATTGATATCTAAGATGAAACCTGTTTCATATATTCAGAATAAATAAATCAAAATGCCACCTTCTATCGAAATTAAACAATATGTTTAAATACTTTATTGATGATATCCCAATAAAATATTCAAACACTTGAAATATCTTGTTCTAATGACAACAAATACAAATAGAAAATCGAATAGTTCGAATACGAATATAAAAGGTTTCATTTATATTTTCCTTCGATTTAATGCGATGCCCTATAAGAAAGCTAGGGCGTAACTGCCAAAAAAGCCGTTATAGCAATTATTGGTATGAATGGGAGGTAAAACAGAAGAATTGAAGAGTGCGAGTGTTTCTATACTGAAAAAATCTCAGGTTAAGGACTTACAATTCTTCCATAGAATCTTGGATAAACCATCAGAACGTTTATCATCTGCATTACAAAGTTTAGTCGGCTCAAGTGTTGAAGGAATACCAGTAGATTTCAAGGCACGAGATATAGTGTCATTAAATTTTGTATGTCTTAGAAATCGGTTTGCAATAATGGAAGTGACGACCTTTCTAGTCAACAGAAGTTTGACAAAGTAAACACGATTATGATATGACCATATCGCAATTATCTGAGTCCGATGACATGCCTTAGCTCATCGTTTGTAAGTATTAAATCAAGCTTGAAGATATGGTTTCAAGAAATTCCTAAACTTTTCCCGATGAAGTTGAAAATAGAAGAAATACGACAGAGTTGCCACAAGGTTAAATCCCAATCTCCCTGCAATGACGTTGAATGAGGTTCGAATAGGGAAGAGGACTTCCAAAGATCGATGGCCTAAAAGAGTAGAGGATCTGGATAAGTCGTTAGCCGATTGGGTCACATGATAAACGCGAAGATATTAAGACACTGACAGAGTAGGGAAGGTGATCGTACAATTCCACCTGCTTTGGTAGGAAGGAGCCTATAGCCAAGATAATTCTCCAAACTTAAGAGTGACTATTTGTTCGGTCAATATTTTGATTTTGTTTGTAGGTAGTAAGGAAAATTTTTCTCATGGATAGCACAAAGCTTTGGACATCTTAACGAAATCTTGAAATAATTTTTTCTGGCTACAATATTGAGTTATCTGTTTTAAAAAATTAACTCAAATCGAGCTCTCAAGTTTATAACTCCTACATTGAGATAAAAAAGATGACCTTTTTTAAAGATAGTTTAAACTTGGCACGATTATTTAATAATCAACGTTCATTGATAGAGTACAAAAATAAAAATATACAAATTTAAATATTTTTGGAGCATAACGTTGCGTTTTCTATATTACTTATAAATATATTTCGGAGCTCTGCATCTGACCCATTTTTTCAAGTCGCTTCCAATTCGAGAAATTTTTTTTTTGACCCACCGATCTGATTATTTTTGTAAAGGTTCAATTTTATCAATGTTATATTAATAGATCCGAGAGTCCGTCCCAAAAATATTTGAATTAGAAAACAAGTACAAGAAGTGTACTATATTTTTGAAAAGAAAATTTTAGGAAAAACAAGATAATTTGTCATCTATCGGAAGAGTGTTGTTAAATGGTTCGATTTTTAAAAACTGCTAACCCAATATTTTAACCAAAAAATATTACACAAGACTGAAAATTTTGTTCATAGATGGCAGTTTGGACATCTTTTAACGAAATTTCGAATATTGCATGGTGGCGAAACTCTTAATTTTTAAATTGAGCCGTTTAACAACACTACATTGGAATGAAAATATAAAAAATCAAGATCTAGTCTGACCAATCCTATTTCGGCGGGGCTCAAATAGGTTTGTGCAGGCCTTTAATATTATATGACCAGGAAATTTATTATATTTAATAACTTCGGGAATGCAGAATATTTTCCTGCCAATTTTTTGAATACATTATCATGGACCAGTGTAAAACCTACAAAGTTAAATTCTAACTTAACGTGTTTATAAAATGAAATAATATTTAATTAAAAACACGATTACTATTTGTGTCCAAATAAATGAAATACCTTTTATCACATAAATATTTAAAAAACAATTTAGTTCTTAATCTTCTCTAAATCTATAATGGTCAGTAATAGTTCTATATAACAATAAGTTTAAAAAGAAAATCAAAAATCATATCTAACTTTTCGTCCATGGTTTTATTATATAATATAAATATTTTTTTTTCAAAAAAATTGTCCTCATCGCTTATTCACATTAAATATCCATAAAAATTAAGTTTTTTAAAAAATTCCAAGTGAAACGAAATGTTTTATTTACATTATTATTGTATTGAAAGAGATATAAAGAAAAGTTATTGACTACTTATATCATTAAGCACGAAATAATAAGAATAGATCGATATTTCCTCCTAGCGAAGGCCAACGCTCAATCATATCATCATGGGCCTGACCTATTTAAAAATTTGTCTTCAGGGTTGCTTTAAAAACTCACGTGACCTATTAATTTT